GCGTATGTCCAAAACCTATGAGATCTGCCATGACCAGACTGGAGGTTCCCGAACTGGCACTGTTTTGGCGATCTTCGGTTTATTAGTTTGCCTGCTATTTTGGGAACGGATAATTTGTTTTGCTTTTGTCGTGGTTATGCTGAATGCACTGACCCTTTCTTACTCGTCGTAGTTATCCATCGAGACAGCCAATGTATTGCAGCCCATGAATTAACTTTTTCACATACAGTTCACTCTCTGAGTGTTAACGGTCACTCACAGTGGTTGATCGATTAGCCTCTCCATTTGTTTTTGCATGTCCTTAATGGCGTTTTCCTACACTTAGAAATGTGCAACGACATTAACTTGTGAGTCATGGTTCTTCAGTGCAATATACCCCGGTGTTCGAGAGGATGCTCATAGCGTTTACTATCTTGTGCGTGTTTGTTACGAGGATCTAGGCTAAGAGGGGCACACTTTTGATTCACTAGTGACAAATCGAGATAGCTCTACCACTTCCTTCGAACCGTCTCAATTGAATCCTCGGCGATGGAGACAAAAGTCACAAAGTTTAACAAGCACAGGGTTTGTGTGCATCATCAGTATGTGGCAAGATAAATGCAATGAAGTGTTCATTCCCAAAGTTCTAACATCAAATCCAATTGTCATTTCGGGTGGCAAGGGCATTTAATTTTGGGGAGCTTACTTAGGGCTCACACAGACGAAATATTACACTTCTCGCTCTTACAGACTAGCTGTTCCCCTTAGTACTTAATAGCACAAGCTTAAGTAGATTGGTTCACCCACTGCGAACTTCGCTTACAAAGCAGTGGTGGTTCCCGGTCAGTTTCTCCGCAGCATTTATTAAAAAAGCAAAAACCAATTGTTAACTGTGAATGATATTATTTATGGATAAATTCTTCTTTAAGCATGATTAATTCCCGCATTCAATTACTAAACGCAACCATCACGAGCTAAATTACCGGCATTCACTTCTACATGGGATTGCTTTAGGGACCCTCCCTGCTTTCCACCTGGTCTCGTTTTTGCATCTAGACTGGTTAGTTATTCTCAGTACGTAAACATCGGTTATTTCATCTCACTCATTTTACCATTTGTCAGAAAAATCTGCATCATATCGCGATTCATAAGACTTTCTTCATGAAAATCTGCTCTAAGTACATGTAGGTAAATTTTGAGAGAATTATTAGATCCAGTCAACTGCTCGGCATTTACTGTCCAAGTACACCGGACACATTTGGTGAAGATCACAACTTTAGCTGTGTGCAGAACGAACTGATAACTTTGCCTGGTGCACTAAAAAATAAATGTTCTGAGATCACGAGAAATCCAATTACAGTCAACCCATGTGCCCATGTTAAATGCGCAAGCCCGATACATTTTGGCCAGTTGGTTTAATGTTTTTCGTTATTTCGTTGTCCACATTAAACTAATCTGTTTGGCCAGTTTGCTCATTTTTCATCTTCTGCGTTGGGAAAAATTAGTTTCCCACAGATTCGTAGAATGTGCGTCCCACCCGAGCATTATATAGCTGTCCACTCACTCGTTTTACCACGGTTTACAGCGTGCATGCTCACCTAAATCTGACAATCATATTTAGCTGTCAATGACGGGAAATGGACTGAGAGCGTTTTATTTGCTGTGCAACTGAATGGAAGTCAAATCACGTAATTCTCAGGTATCGCCTTGTTCTCATGGCAACACAACCTGTCTTTTATTTTCTGACATTCAACTGACAAACACCAGTTGGGAGCTTTTGCAACAAATCGTCTCTAACAGAAAAGCTTCTTTTTCGCCACTGACTGCTGCACTCTGCTCTAGTAGGTTTCGCGTCGGGAGCATTCTGAGGGCACTGCTTGTATATGACATCCCATTCGAACCGAAGTACCTAAAAGTACCACAAGGAGTATATTCATTGTAAGTATATTTATTTACTGTTTATTGAAATTATTGACATATATGACTTTTTGGAGAGGCTTTGGGGTTCATAATTTGCGAAACACAAGACGCACTATCAAACGGCCGATGGCTTTTCCGAAGTACGCTCGTGTACACTGCAGTTAAGTTGCCGTGGAATATCAGCTGAACCCTTCGTTCATAATATTTTTCAGCTGAATGTACTGCACAAAGACCGCCTAACGTTTTAGTCGTTGCGATATTCAACATGTGGCAGTCTATTTTCACGAAAGAAACCACCGAAAATTAGTACTTCATGAGTAGTTTCATGAATCGGTAACCACATTTTTGTAGAAGTAACCTGATTATCGAGAAACCTTTGGGATGCGGCCAGACTTTCATAGTCAAGATCCCTGCAGTACGCATGCGGTACGTTGAAAAGTCTTTTGGAAGGTGTATGGCGAGGAGGGTTACGAAAAATACTCCCAAAATGATTGCAACAAGTGAAATGTCTAAACCGCATTGTAGGATGAATGAATTGACAGTTTTCGGCCTCCCAATATTTCAGTATCTTTTCCTGTACAAGGCCGCTCATCTATGTGGGAGACCACCTTCAGAGAAGTCCACCATTCCAAATCGACCACTGTATGCTGCTCTGTTTTGGTTGTATATCCTAATGTAAAATTAGGAACAAATTCAACACTTGTCATTGTTCGGGTGCATTGTTTAACTTGACGGGAATGCCAAACTCATTCATTCCACCGATGTCTCACTGAATGCCACATAAATACGTTTGTGGTGGGCAAACAAAATTCGGAAGACAGAGTCGGTGCTTTAGGTCCTATTAAAAGTACCCGTGTGTGTTTTCTGCTTTGATCTAGGACGTTTTGCATGGTACAGGTGCTCTCTGACAACCGATCAGGATAGTACGATTGGTGGAGATTTACCGGCAACCCAATATCTCTTTTGTTTTGTATGGGTTTACGAGGTATTCACAGTCCCACACTTTCAAGGGAGATTGATCATCACGATCATCCTCGTTATCATAAAGGCTTTGAAAATCGAAGGTACCAAATAAGCAGCATGTGTGCTTAACTGTCATTCCAAGGACTCCGTCAACGAGAGGTTCATTCAATACTCTTCTGCATCGCCAATTCAAACCAACTTGTGTGAGTGTAGTATGAGTGCAAAATGATGCTAATATCTAAACTGAGCTCCTATTTTCACGTAACTTTGTCGTAGAGGACACTATACAATGAAGGCCAGTATATTGGTGGTATTTCACGTGGACAGGCGATTTGCGAAAACATGCAAGCCTGTTAACACTGGTACAGATTTGACCATTACGAAATGTCCGGGCGCTGATGGTACTACTCGGCCTTCCAGGATGGCATCTGCATGTTCTACTGCTCATGGTCGGAACCACTACAAAACGCGGCCGCTAAATAATATTTTATTGTCATATTCTATCATGTGTGTTTGAAGAAGTGTCTAAAGATGCAAGCACATCGAAATGATTTTGAGTGACTAAAACTAATTCATTTCCCCACCCACTTTTACATTTTTCGAGTTAAGGGTTTCAAATAAATTATGGTTTTGTTGTGGTTGAGCATCAGTGCTGAAGGCTGATTCTGTAGTTGTACTTGACGTTCGATAAAAAGAAAATACTGGGAAGTTATATTTTGGCTATGGTGTAAATGTGCTTTCTGGTTGATATAATACGCACTTCGACAAGTGTCCCGTTTTGGGCATCTTAGTTTCCACGATGTACGAGCTGTTACTCGTACTTACCTGTTTCATTTGCGATAAAATATCCGGGTTTTCACCCTTCCCAATTTTAAAAAGTCTTCTCCACTAACAGAAATATTTGAGGCATCAGTCAATGAATTCTACTCCTATCCAAAATGCCATTTAGCCATATCGGTCAGCATCTAAGACTGTGGACGTCTCAAAAAGCCATAACTCCCAGACACGCGGGGCTGATGTTCACATGGATTGTTTGATGTCTGCCGCACGCATAAAAACGTTAGTACCTATCATCCGATTACAATCAGACAAGCGGGTAGAACATCCTTGATTTTATCTTGCTGGAAAATTAATTAGCCTTCGGAATCTGTTACCCCCCTGTGGTCATACCCTTAAAATCTCGCTCCCGTAACAAGCGGCGTTCTCCACTAAAACAAAAGTTTTCTCGTGTCAAAGTAAGATCAATCTTTAATAATAGATGTTTCTTTCATGTTTTATGTTTCTTTCCACCGACAAATCCAATTTCAAGTCTATGGACATTTGTCGTTTTTTGTGTTCTTTGGGGGAGATCGATCCTTTTATCTGTGAACTCCGGACTCAGCCTTGAAGATGGATGATAGTTCACACTTGTGGCCAAACAACCTGTCTTGAAAAAGACGGGGTTTTCTCCCCAGATTTATGTGATCTAATGGATTAATGTTTTTTGCATAGGCGTGTATAAGTCTGAAACCGTGAGTGGATGTGCTGTTGGAAAGCTACTGTTTGTTTGCAGATCTCACAGTGATTGTCATCGTAACGTAAATGAGACGGAATAGGAACTGCAGCATTGTTGCGCGAAAAACCTAAACAGATTTGAGTAAGCTTCGGCTGTCCATCAGCATGTAGGTTTTTGGAGATGTAAGTGAGGTACACAAAATTGTAGGTATGCATTGGCGTAGTAAAATCCCCATTTTCAGGGCTGCATGCAACAATATAACCGTTCAGGGCTGATACAACAATATAACCGTTTTTTCCCTTTTCTTTTAAATTAAGATTTCACTGTTATGCCTGTCAATTTGTTCGTTTGAAAAAGACTTTGTTTTCCTAAAATTTGTTAAGATTTGTTTATGTAAGTGTTTAAATTTGATTTCATTGGTGTCGAAAATCAGTTATTAAGCCACCGAATTCACGAGTTGATGTCGTTTGTCCAACTTTGGGCGCAGTTGATACAATTATCTGGTATCCCTTTCAAAAAGTCGATGAAACAAAGTGGGGACAGCGTAGCTGTTGTATGTCATTCATCTGCATAGAACCGATGATAAAACAGACCCTTATATCTCCCATCTTCCAGCCATCGGGACTTAAAACCCGAAAATTTGCTACTGGACGACAAGCTCAACATCCGGGTAGCAGATTTCGGCATGGCTTCCTTGCAACCCGAAGGTTCTCTTCTGGAAACAAGCTGCGGGTGAGTAGATCGCTACAAACGTCATGCCAAAAGCAGTCTGTGTATATCTGAAAAATGCCAACCACTTCTTTTTACTGAAGTTCATCAGAGTGTTTATCGATTTCCATCCCTAATCCATTTGTCTGTGATGTGGTCCTATTCAGAAAGAATCCACCTCCTCAATTTTCTGTTGCTGATTTAATTTACCAATTGGTCCATTTGTTTATGGCAAATTTGATCCTTGTTCTAAAAGGTGATTGGTTACTTCTTCGTGTGAGAAAAAACTCCGTCACAGCCTAGTTCCTTCTCGCACCATGACAACCGAAAAGTGAGGCTGCTCCGTTTGCTGTCAATGGCTGAAATTTGATATGAAGATGGATAGTATTTCAGTTTTTGAGCAAAGATTAACGGCTGAATGTTCATGCACTTGAGTTACATTGCGTGAAAAGAGGGACAAATCTTGTTTTCAATCCTCGTTTCGACGATCTGCAAACTATTCTAAGTTTCCGGATCGCAAATCAAGCAATTATTGACAAGAAGCGCAGTGATATCTATGAGGGATTACATAATTGGACAAATTAATGACTTTTGTTTGTTACAATTAGTCTACCGTAATGGATTCTGTATATCGCGTCATCGTTGTTCTCAGACTATTTGTACATTCTTATGGATCGTAAGTGTTTCGGGTCACTCAGTTCGAAACTTTCGGTCACCATGAGTTATGTCTTATGAATTGGTAGAAAATTTGTGAATACTTTTGTACCTGATGTGACTTCTATGTCTGTGTTATCACAGGCCAAGACCGGATAAGATTCGTCTTCCCCATAAAGTGAAGCCAATCTATACTGAAAAGTCGAGAAGCACTGTACAGCTGTTTCATCCCTACTGGGAATCATCAGCAGTGCACATCTCACGTTCCGGGACGCTCCGGACTTTCGTGAGATATGCACTGCTGATGATTCCCAATAAGAATGGAACAGCGTTGCAGTGCTTCTCGGTTTTTCAGCATAGATTGGCTTCACTTACAGGATGCAATCTGTTCGGTCTGTTAAGTCGTCAGCTCCGTTTGAAATTAATGAACAGGGGATCTAGGCCTCACGATCAACTTTTGAAGACTTTGTCACATTCATTTGAATGATCTTCCGCATAGTTGTTGCGGAAATTCGAATTGACGGAAAGTTATTTTCTAATGGAATTAAGTTCCTGGCTGAGATTGCAATAAATTATGGAGTGGGTCGTATGGATGTAAGCCTTTCAGCAGACTGTTCTAGCTATGCGTAAGTCACCTTCAGTACCTTTTAGGCATGAAGTTTCTGAGTTCATACATAATGGCGGACTTGGGAAAGTTGGTATCGTCGTGATTAGTGACAGGTTTGCTTGCATGGCCACACTTGTTTTTCCATGCCTGCGTGCAGATCATAGCGTGTTTTTGCCACAGCCTTATCACGAATGAATGAAACACATCACCTTTATGTCCAAGTACCTTTGAAATCATCGATAACGAAGCAAAGATTTTACAGAAAGAATTGGTTTGCAGGGGCTAGCGTAAAATCGACAAAAAGCAAATAGGCACCCGAAAGGAAAACATCTCTTCAGAATACTGCCCTATCCAAAAGGTCATTTTACCTAAAAATCCTTCATAGTACTCTCTTGGCGGGTTTCCGCAAACTGTGACCAAGGATATGTGACTACTTTTAGACAACTACATACTCAGGTTTGGAAGCCACAGCCTTGAGGCTGTTTACATTCGGTTTTAGTGCAGTCCACTCATTCTCAGTCGAGCTGATGACGGGGCATTCCGTTATCAGTCCAACAACACAACGTGATAATTCAATAGATCTTTATGAAGTAGGTGGTGTAAACCGCTCCTCCGTTTTCTTCTAATATCGCATCACCTATTTAGCTGTGGCAAAGAGCTAATGTTATTGTGGTGTTTGATGGGCCCCATCAGAATTTTGAACATCTGTTATCATTGCTATGCCGTTTAATCCACCTGGAAATATCATTCATCGGGTGAGGTTATTGGCCATAGGTCACTTGGTGCTTCATTTGTTAATAGAATTTAGCAATTTGCTCCCAAACATTTCTTCACCAACCATGGAGACGTCATCAGTGCGTGTACTCATGATGACAACGACAATCATCTGTATTCGTAGTTTTCGAACATTAGAATAGTTATAATGTGAAGCATTTCTCCACCAGCTGGAAAACAGGGATATTTCAACAAGAATGGCAGTTTATTTTCATGGAGGAACACTACGTGAGACCTAACCGAACCCCAGGGAAGATATCTGTTGATGATATTCTTCGACTGAATGTGCATTGCTAAAGCCGCCTCGTGGTTTAGTTGGTACGTTGTTCGAGGTGTCACCGTTCAATTTGGGTTCAAGTAGAACGCGAAGCCGACGGGAACTCTAGGACTGCGACCACTTTAATAGTGCTTTGTCCCGCCAACAGAATTCACTTCGATATTTTCAATATTATACGAACTGATACAGGAGATGACCTATGTAGAGTACATTCACTTAAGGAATATCATAAGAGAAACGTTCAGCTGGGACTCAGTCGAATCTACCATTAAAAACAAAATTCGTTTGCAAATGAGTGTATTTCCCGGAATGTATAGCAGTGTTTTCCAGTCAATTCTACATTAAAAACAAAATTCGTTTGCAAATGAGTGTATTTCCCGGAATGTATAGCAGTGTTTTCCACCGCACGGTTAATTGAAAGCTAGCTCTCTCCCATCAAATTAGGTTTTTATCCCGGTCAGCCCCATTCATTGCTGATTTAGAATGTTCACCAATAGGAATTTGCAAAATCCTATGTCAGCCAAGTTGAGAATGTCGTAATGTGGGATGCAGAAATAGCCGAACCATCGAGATGCTCAATAAAAGCACCGTAAGGTGTTTCGTACAATTCTTCGAAGATTTCGCCGGTCAAGATAGTACTCTTGTCGCGCTCATTTATCACTTTTTACCGGCTTTTTGTCGGTTCTCTCAAGACTTCTTCCCATGAATTGTACGTCTCGTTTCTTATGGTACCCAGTAACTGCAAAATGCCACCTCATGTCCATTCACACTAGGAAGATTCTACAAGCTTCTCACAGGACCACTGTGTCAGATTACTTTTTTGGCTCATACACTCAGCAGTCGTTTCAGTATAGCCTAACACTTCGATGAATGACTGATAAAAGTATCTGTTCGCCTTTAATTAGCGGACGGACTGCCGTCACAACAAAACATGTACAGATCATATCCTACTTCAAAATATAAGCCTACGTGTTTTTGCTATCAACGGAAAGGTTAATACATATCAGTACTTTTGCTAAATTCAAACTTTGGGATAAGAGACATAGTAGTCATTTTTTGGCAGCCGTCGTTACTATTACTGAGGTTAGAACATCAAAGGCATTTGTTTCAAAATAGGTTGGCGCTTTGCTGAGGGACATTTTCACCTAAAAATGAAGAGCTGAACGGACAAAGTTCATCCCGAAGACTCAAGTCAAAGCGTGACGCGGGTACTGTTTGTGTCAGCCGACACAACGCGTTTCAGATAGGTTTACCAGATTTTTAACACTTGTTACAATAAACCTCCGGAAAATCGCCGGACTAAAAAGAGGAATTTATGCAGTTTTTCCGAAATTTTCTGTACTGTTTACGAGCTAAAAACGTTTAGGCGTTTCTAATAAGTCGATCAACCCATGACGTTCTTCTGTGGTGTCGGATACTGACGCAGCCACTTGGGTTGATGAATGCGGCAACTGTGGGGAACTAAACATACGTCATTATCTATTCATTAGCAGTACTTCTCCTGACGAGTTATAGGCTTCAAAAACGTGCAGTCAGGGCGACTGTTGATGGGTGGTTTCAAATTCACACGCATGCAGCTTGAATGGTAGTCAAGGGGTGAAGGACCACAAATTGACTACGAAGCGTCCAGAAGTGATCTTTCTCTATGGAGGAAGCTGTTGGTAGATCAGGTAACGTAGATGGTCGTCGGCTTGTTCACTAAAGTGGGCAATTTGATTGCAAACGTTCTGTCACCAACAGAGGTGCGTTGTTAGGGCACGTAGTGGCGCTCCCTCTTTCGAAAGACAGAGGCCTGTACAAGGCAGTGACACAGAAGTCATTTTACATGACAGTGGAAATGATGATAAATAGAAGGAGAAAGATTATTCTGTTGCCTCATTCTTCCATGTGTTCATTCCGCCTAGGAAGAAAAACTAACGCGATATTCCTTATGATTATGTAGATGCAGGTACCTGAACAACAAAGATACTAGGTGTTGCGCTGGATTTTAATGATTTCGTTTAATAGATTGTGCTACTCAAATTTTTCATCCCCGTTATTAGATTTATTGTTGTATACTGGTCATGCTTCGTTTATCTTTGCGCGAAGTGGGAAAACTGCAGAGCCGTAGAATCTTTACCTGATGGAATTAGCACGCATGTCTATTTGCACAACAGTTTGGTGGCTCCGTTACTGTTTCTCTCCGGCAACCCCATGCGACAAGTTAAACTGAGGGCTTAGGATCCTAAATAACAAAAGTGCAATCGCGAACGAAATATTGTGGGAGATTTTAGTTAACCTCAAGGCAGTTGACCTTTAACGCAAACCTATTGGTATTTTTATTCTTATGACCTTCCCTCAAGTGCAGGTGTTATCAAGGAAATTTGTGCCTGGGTAACTTCTGGTGTTTAGACTGAATTTCTTCTAGATCATACCTTGACCAAGAAGATTCAACAACTCTTATTCTGTATTCAGAATGCCGGTTCCAGGGATGTGTCCCATAGATTATTTGGGAACGCCGTCAGAAATGGACTGACTTTTGAATACGTATAATATATTAAAAGCTTCAAGGTCGACCTTAAAATTATGTGCTACCAAACGGGTGGAGCGCTGTGCCACTAAAATGCGGCTGAAATACACCATGAATTTTAGTGATGCAACAACTAAGTTTTCTGGTTTTGAATTTTTCGAGTTTTGTGTGACCGAACATCCTCATGTTGGAGTTAGGTGTTAAGGATTCAAAAACAGTATATTCGATATCTGCTGACCACAGACCTAGTGGCCTTCCAAATTCAGCGTAAACTATGACATTTGACAGCCTTTTGACGTCAACTTAGGAAGTGTTAGCAAATCAAAAATTCAAGAACTTTCGGTATCCGCTGATCTGAATCCATTTGCTTTGTTCCCATGAG